GGAATTGACCACAACCCCCATTCCCCGTCCCCCTGCTCCGCTGGTGGGGAGTAGGTAGAGAATTTGGGAGTGAAGTAGAGCCCGGGAAGAAGGGAGGCATTGCAGGAGGTGTTTTAACATCTGTTTTTATTTTCTCATTATCCTACTCTGATTTTATTGGCAATAAATTAAATTAATTTCCCCAAGTCGAGTCTGTTTTGTCCATGATGGTAGTTGCTGAGGGATCTCCCTGTTTGATCTCAACCCAGGAGCCTTTTGTTATATTTTCTCCCCCCTGTCCAGCTGAGGAGGGGCAGTGAGAGAGCAGCTTTGGTGGGCACCTGGCTTCCAGCCAGGGTCAACCCTCCACAGTCACTCATGACTTAAGATGTTTTTAGAATGGCAGAAAGTTATTGCGTCCCCACTACAGGACTCTGAGAACTCACACGTATAACTAACTTCGGCACAGCACAAGCAAATAAGCACGTACCTTCACTAGAAACAAAGACTATGTTCAACAATAGGGCCTGTACTTGCATGGAGGCAGTTAACTCTGCTATCACACCGTGACCATGTTTTTGTTGGCTCACTTCCCACAGACGTTAGTTTTATACCGTCCAGCTTAAGCCCACATTCTCCTGAGAACATTTAGTCTGTTCTAAAAGTTACAGGACCTAGACAAATCTGCATAATAAGCAGTGGTTAGCAAACTACCATGCTGTGTTCTGCTATCTAATCTGCTTCTAAAATATTGTTGCATTGTTCTCATCTCAAAAATAACATTTCTACAGACTAAAAACCCCACATCTGCCTTCAGTGCATAGTAATTCAAATGAGATCATTCAGCCCAGCATAAAGGTGGGGAGGTTTATCTGGACGTCAGTCTAAAGAATCTACTTATTGTAAAAGTAGTAAGAGATAAAAGGCATGTTTTTATGTCATCCCCAGCAACAAAGACAATTCAACGCTTGCCTGTACTTAAATACCAGTCCTTGAACTCTCAAAGATAAAATCTTTATAAACAAACAGTTGTGTTATCTTGAGTCATGCAGCATCTACCTTTAAAGTGGTATCAGCTTTTCAGCATGGACACCCCCATGTCTTGAAAAGCAAATCACTATTAACTTAGGCAAAAACTAGATGCAGTTCTTCATCAACTAGTTTCCTTTAAAAAAAGTTAGCAGATACTTTCTGAAAGGATCTTCACAAGAAGACTCCTTAGATATGCTTAACCAAAACAGCTTTGTTTCAGTTAATTAGATTTAAAAGTTACCTCAGCACAGAGCATTGTACAAAGGATAATACTGTTTTCAGCTAAGCTCCTACTCCCTAAGGTCACCCACTAATGCTCACCGACTCCTGAAGGAAATTGGACTCGTGCAGAACCTGCAGGCTAAATGAGAGTAAGTTTTACACAAAACCCCCACCTATTTGCTATACATTCATTTTTCCACTTTAGATCTCAAACTGAATTTAATCTTTGGTTACAGTATCATTTCGGTGTTAGAATTTTATCTTCCCCTAAGCCAGGAACAGAAGTGCAAGAAGCAGAGGTGCATCGGGGGACATCAGCGCGTTGCCATCCTTACTCAGGATGAAGTGAGAGGATTTGTTCTGCCTACAGCAAGAGGGCTAACACACTTTCCAGATGAAGTAAGCCTTTAAGATCAACCTATGGTACTAAATGATACATCTAAGTCTTACTGACCGCATCTGGCAGAAACCAGGGTTTCCTCACATTTATTACAGCAAAATGTTGAATATTACCCACTTTTATACCACAGGAAGGAAGTTACTGAGATGAAATAGAATTATTTTGACAAGTTAAAACATTTTTAAAAGCACCTGGTTGGCTCAGTTCCATTTCCCAATTTGACAGACTTGGGCACCAAAGCATCCAATTTCCCAGAATAAATCTGTCATTCTTAAAAGTGTCAGGTGAGGACTTCAGTGGAAACAAAGGCCTCTTTCACAAGGATCTCTAAACCAAAGACCCGTGACCAAAATGCTCACTTCCACAGATAATTTAAGGATCTTCCTGTAATCCAGAATTACCTGTGATGTAGTTGCACGCGAGAGAGAGAGCTCAGAAAAAGTCAGCTTATGTGCTGTGCACAAAGGAGGAACTGAAATGAAGACACTCGGAGAACCCAGGAAGTGAGAACACCAGAAAACCAGAATAAATTCCATGGGTAAACTAATCCAATTTCTTTGTGCAATAACAAGACCCATATTCTTTATTAAGCTATTCTCACAAAACAGAACAATTACTCAAGATAACTAACATGCAGCAACAAAATTAGCTATAGCATGGGAAAATGTTGTTTTGGTTTTTTTTTTTTCAAATCATTCCACTTCTCCTGCAAAGGTTACCTGTCTATAGCTGCACAGGTTGCCTGTCTGGTCCCGAGCTGCCTGTTTGCAGCCTGTATTTGGCACAAACTCCTAGCTAGTGATCAGAAGCGTCTGCTGACACGCCGGGCTGCCAAATTCAGTGCTTCACGTGCAACGAATTCCATTGTCCCTGCGGCGCATCAGCCACATTAAAGGTGATTTCTTTCAATCACCAGTGGACACACTCAAGTAGTTGGCAATAGGATGGACTAACTCACCAAAAGTTTATTAGGAAAGCGATCGGTGTACATATGCACGCACACTCTCAACAAGAGTATAAGCAAGAATAGGCAGAGCTTTTGAGTTCACAGCTTTTCTACCACCCATGAACACAGCATTGAAGTTGCTGAAAATTTGAGGACAAAATCAAGAAGCAGCTGTCTTTTTCTAAAGAAGTTTCCAAAAGCTTTTTTTTTTTTTAAGCAGTGGCTTTATCAGTATTCTCATGTATTATGACTGCACAGAACCACCACAGTTTTTCTGAGTATACAGAGAACAAGCTTAACAACACATGCTCATACGAAAGTAGCATTAATACTTCCTTATGGTTTTACAGCAATAATTTCTGAATTTAGAAAAGCAGAAATCCATTTCCCTGCCTCTTTTTACTTGACAACTACTACTCTAATATATAGGACTGTACTTGCCCCCCCTCTAAAACCTGATCAAGTATAGAGCTTAAGCCTTTCAGCCACTTGGTACACCAAGTCTGCCCACAGTATTCTTTCTCTCTTTATCCTCCGCGCACAATACCACTCAAGCCTTTCTGTAGCTCAGCTCACAGAAGACATCTACACGCCAAATCAATTCATAAGAGATGTCCAACAACTACACTAAAATAGCTGCAGCCTTTTCACCTGCCAATTTAACAGCTTAAATCTTTGCTTGTATGGTTTTGTGTAACAACCATTCATATTGCAGAACACTGTTTTAGACAGAAATTAACTACTTAATACACTACATTAACAAGATAATAGGACCATCAAGGAAAATTTTCAGCATTACAGTATCTTATTAAACAATGACCAAAGTTCAGCCTTCTCTCTAGATTTATTTGTATTTCAAAAGCCAATACAAAAAGAAAAATGTTACATATGTACCAGTCACTCCTGTAGACTAGAATGTGAGTAGCCACTGGGAATTTAGCACTGCAGTATTTTCCAACAATATGCAACATTATATATTCAGCTGAAAGGGCACTCTAATGCAATATTCAAGCCTAGGCTTTTTTTCTGAGCCCATGGCAAACGTGGGAACTCCATGGCTTCCAAGGAGCTCAATTATTTTTATGTAAGTGACAGCAGATAGCTATTTAAGTAGATTGTTCTGTTACATATAAATGCAACTACAGACAAGTCTTTTTGCGGCTCTGCTTTGGCGGCTGGGTTTAACCCAAAACATCGGTCCTGGGAAAGCCTAGTTATACCAACAGCATAATTACATTAAAATATTCATCTGGTTTTAAGTATGCAAGATCTAGTCAAAGCAAGTATCAATTTCAGCTACTGGGTTTTCAAGCAAAAAAGCCTTTGTAAAAGACAATTAAGGCTTCCATCACCCCAGCAGAGGTAACAATGAGAAACAAGTCTAAGCCACAGGAGCATTGGTCTGGTTTTGACAGTGGTATTTAAGTATTTATTGAGCTGGTTTTCATCCATTTATTCAGTTGGCTTATATCCATCTGTAACATCTGAAAATGCACAGTTAGCAAGCTGCTAAAATAAGGACTCTGGGTAGCATTTGGTTGCTTTTTTTTTTTCTATTAACATAATAGGCAAGAACTTCTAGAATTTGTCTTGCTGATAAACTTCAACTCTGCCTGAAGCAAGGATGAGAAAAGTTCCCCCTGCTAGTATAAAATAGTTCAAGTATGAAAAAAAGCCACTGACTATTTTTTAATAACAGTATTTGCATAAGCAGGAAAGAAACTCCCAGTTTCTCACTGATCTCTAGCTATAGTAAAGAGAAGTTTTACTTCAATTTTTAAAATACAGAAGTTTAATTATTTAGCCTATATAACAGTTCTACAGACTGTATCACAGATAACGTTGCACAGCTTATGACCAAGATCAATACTAAAATCAAAAATCTTGCTAGTGACAGTGCTAATACAAATTGGCAATTTGAACATTTCAGTTCAGAAAACACCCATTCTTCTAAACCCCACTGAAGTATATCATTTATGTAAGCATTTATTAGATCCAGTCATCATGCTACAGTATTAGTCACATTAATAAACCTTCTCACTGTGAGAATACACCAGCATAAGATATGAACACAACGAAATCTATAGGAAATTTGATAGTAACTTTCCAGAAATATGCTTGTGGCGCATCAAATTTAGACTAAAGTACTGTAGCTTGAAAATATTTACTTGTCTTCTTAGCATACCTAATGTGTAAGAATAGTTTCTTGTTCGATTCCCAAAAATAAATATAAGCTTTCAATTGAAAGCATTTCTTTTCCTAGTTTTCCGAAGCAGAGTCTAGGGGGGGAAAAATGCTTCAGACTTGTCATCAGTCTACTTCAGTACATAAAAGCATCTCCTGTCCCAGTATTCGTTCAAATCCAAGAGATATTTTCTTCCAGTGAAATATGACCGGAGCACTCATTTTATTTTCAGCAATTCAGTCTGTTTCCATGGCAGCACTGCGGGATTCCTTAGCCACCATGAGTCGCATTAGCTGACTGTGGAATTTCTCAATCTTCTTTACGTCTTGCGCCTGGTCTGTTCTATACAGCAAACACTGTAAGAGAAAGTTGCTTAATATCAGATTTCACTTGAACTGTTTTTATTCTGTTTATAGTTGCAACAAATTTCGAACACACAAAACAAGGTAATTACTTAAATGTTCATTTGTGGCATGTTACCATGAGGTGAGGCAGCACCAACACACATCTACCCTTTTTAAAATACGCACACATCTGTGTTTACATTTAAGTTTCTCTGAAAGCCTTATGCCTTCCATTTTGAAGATAGGGAAGCTCACGATTAATCCTAGTTTCTTCTCTCTCCAAAAAGGTGCCAGCACCTGGGGTTTAAAGCTGTCTTTAAAGACACTCCTGTTTGTGTTGTCTAAAAATAGAACCAGATTTTAAACCTGAAATTACTTTCCTATTCTCTACATTCATTCTGAAAGTAAGTTTCTTTTGCCTTCAGAGTCCTTAATGTTACACTGCCAGTGACAAAATCAGTTCAGTATTTCCCACTGAAGGGGGATCCCCTACCCCAAGCAAAATCTATCCTACACAAGGAACACAGCATCTGATTAAGATAAAAAGGAACTCCACGTGACAAGCTGTTAAACGCAAAAGGAACAAGAGTAATGTGCCAGTGACTTATCATAGAAAGACTGCTTAGGGTTTGGGGGGTTTTTTTGCAGACTAAGTAATTCCTTACACCTGTACAGCATGGGTATGACTGCCCAGGCTGATTTAACAATGAGAAACACCCAGAATGCTCCATTCTTGAGTGCTGTCAACACAGCAGCTTTTGAATTAAAATAGGAATTCAATGCTGGCAGAGACACACAGTAGAAAACAGTTTATTTTTTCCTTCAGCTAGTCCTGCAGATTGAGCATCAAGGAAAACTTCTCATCCCACCTCCAGAGGAAAAAAAACCCACCCACAACAAAAACCCAAACCAAACAAAAAGCCCCAAAACCAACACAAAACCAATCCCCTGCCCTGCCACAGGTGTAGCAGCTTTCCATGACTGGAAGCAGGTAAAAAGGCCTATAACTGACAAGACTTCACATTCAGGAATCACCTGATTCCAACTTCCCCATGGAAGATTTCAACTGCATCACCCTCCACTTCCCACTGTTATCAGTGCGCCACGCTCACCACCTCACCCACATCAAGCCCTATTACCCTATCAAGAAGTGTCATTTCTGGAATGTCATGCCTCTCCCAGGTGTTGGAAATCCCAATGCCAGACTACTCTTCCTGGAAGGAAGAAATCTGATTTTTTTCAAGTCTGAAAATAAGAGAAGGGCAGGCTATTGTAGCTTACCCTGGACTGCAGAAAACCAACCTGGCTGTAACATCACTAGCACCAAGAACCTGTCACTGGCATGCACATCAGCATGCATACACTGATGCATGCTGACATATTTGTACCTGCTGCCCACCATCTCACATCCTAACCCCCCCACGCTTCTAAGCGCCCTCCCAGACTCTGGAGAACAAGGGCAACCCGTAAGCACAGCTGCTCTACCTCCTTGTACGGAGCAGCCCTGGGAAGGAGGCTGCAGAATTCCACGTTGTGTACACATTCCATGGTTTTTACTGAATGCATAACTAACACCATAACAGTATTTCAGAAAATGAGAACTCTAAATTGCAAGTGAATCTTGTCTTCCAGTCTCAATCACTCCACCGTCTCATAATCAAAGATGGAGCTTAGCCTACAGTTAGAAGTTGTCACCACTCTGTGCCAATAAAAAGGACCACACTCACACTAGTAAATACATCTGTTTGAAGATGCTCCCAAAATGCTTCAGCAGAAGCTACCAATGCCATTCCATGAAGCATTTTGAGATAGAGAGAGGGTCCAAGATTTTTGTGGTGCTCATTTTCCTTGTTTTCATAGAATCCTAAAATAATTATGTTAACACCCATAAAGAACACAGAAGTGCTAGAACTTTTCCTGGACTGTGCAGAGTTGAACCACAGGTCAGTGTCAGTCCCAGACACAGCAACTACAGAAAGCTGAGCACAAGTTTTTAGAAAACTGTCAGGCACTCTCAAGGCAACGGCTAAGAGCTCCCAAGTTGACTGACAACAAAATAGAAGTCCATGAGAGGTACAATAAGCCCTGAAAGGGGAATATATCCTGTACTTACAGCTACATCATCCGTTACTTTGATACAGAGGTTCCCATCACAATGTCGATATTTGAGAACAACCCGCACCTGAAACGACAAACATTTAAAGAATCATCATTACAGCTAACAATTCTCAGAACATATCTGAAGGATATCTGCCCAAACTCAGACTACCTTTCATTACAATTACGTACTGCTTCACATTTTCACCACCTCTGTGGTGGTCCTTAGCTCTGGTGGCCACTAATCCTACAGCCAGGATTGCGTGGAAGTTGAATGATCACATTTCCCTGCCTAACATGTTAAACTAGTATTAGGGCAGCATCAGGAAGCTTAGCACAGGGCATGTTAAAAACCACTGTAAATGCAGCAATGACAGTTGTAGAGACCTCAGCAACTCCAATAAACTCCGAGAGTCACGTCAATACAAGACACCCCCTCACCATATATCACACTTCAGAAAAACTAACTGGAAGCTTGTGTTTGTAAGCTTGAAACACTTAAAACCCCTTAGTTTTACATGAAGACTTGAAAGGGATTAACTGAGTGGACTAAGGTCAACATTACTGCTTTTTCTTCTATGGTACCTAAACTGTAACGTAAAAAAGTCATTATTTCCAGTCACTAACTTTATTTCAATAGCTGCTCTGCTGATGTTTTTGCAAGTGGAAAGGGAAGATAAACAATAACACTTTTAGAGTAACTAAAATTAGTGGACTGACGAGAGTTCTTTCAAATTAAATTCCTTTCAACACTCAATAAGGCTAAATTTGAAGTCTGAAAGCAAGGATTCAACTTTTCTCACTAAAACAGTTACTACTGTAGTCACCTGCCCTGAGCTTTAAGCTAGCTGCAGTCTCTCCGGACTTTCAAATCACCAAAGTTCTCAAAGCCACAGTGATAAAAATCAACATCCTCAGCAACTGACTGAGTACAAAATGCTTCCTCCTGAATGCAGAACTGGCCAGAGACTTTGTATCTATTGTTTCTAGACTCAGTTTGCATCAGTAACTAGAAACAAAGCAAGGTATCCTTTTGAGAACATTCTGCACTCACACTGTAAACAGGTCTTTGTTGTACCGAGTAACCCATGCTAATGGTCAACAAACTCCTTGACTACAAAATAATTTTGAAATTCCTGTTCCAATGGATCTCCTCACAGATTTAGCCTTCTTAAACTACCATCTTCCCCCCACAGCAGCTGTATAACAGTACAGCTCTTGATTGAGCAGGCCCAAAAGCAACGGAGAGGCTGCCACATGAGGTACAGACTTGACAGATAACTTGCTCTCGCAAAAGGCAAGACCAACCACTACGTAGGCTCACCAGCCCACAAAGAACACACAACCCATCGCCCTCAATTCTTGTTCTTCCTTAAGTTTTTGACAAGCCCCATTACAAACAAAAGCTCCTCAGGCTAGTTCTCTGGCTAATTAAAAGGAGTACGTGAGTCTGAGGCCTACAAGAACTCCTTCCAAAATAGACAAGTTTATTGCCATGGATGGGAAGAGGTTGCCTTTGGAAGCCCCTTATCCCTTCTGAGCTCTTTCATTTAATTGAGTGGTAGAGAGCATAAGAAAGTAAAACAGGACAATTTTATTATAAGTAGATAGGTGGCAATTGCATATAAAGTGATCACCTATGCTAATTAAAAGCAAATGTTAAACACCACTTTTGAAGTTTTCTCTATGTCCCCTCATTTTGGCGAGGAAAACTAGGCCTGTTTTACTGAAGTTTTCTCAGGTATACGAGCTCCGTGTTATCTTTTGTGCTGCTTTTTGGCTGAATTATAACACTTTTTCTGAAGACTGAAGTTACTTTTAACATTTGCACAAACTATACTCCTGAAAAAGTTACCAGAAACAAAAAGTGGTGATATACCAAAAGGTTAATCCCTAGAACAATAACTCTTTACGAAGCAAACACGTTCCAGTCTAGAATGATGCTGCAGGCAACAACGCAGTGTATAAGCTAACGGGTCCTTTAATTTTTTAGGAAGACAAATTCAAAGGATACAGTCTTAAATGTTGTAAACTCCTAAAATAAAGCACTTCTCGATACACTTTTCATTCAACAGAACACCTAAACCTGGTTTTTAACACAGAAGTGGACTGTAAAGCAGCACAGCGTCTCTGAAGTTCGGTTCACGAGGTTCACAGCTGTCACTGATAACCGCACCTGAAACCCCATCCCCCGTGCACGTTTTTGGGGCGCTAAACGAGAACTACCACCTGTTTCGTGCAAAAGGAAGGTCAGAGGCGACACCAGCGAGTAACCCCCCTCCTCGCTGCTGCTGCTTCCCGCCTCCCCCTGGAACCGCACCTCGAGAGGCCCTTCCAACCGGTCACCGCCGGGGAGCACTGCCCGTGT